GATATGGACGGAGAAGATGGGTGGTGAAATGTATTAAGGAAAGAGGGAAGAAGAACATTGGAATTAAACGATGGTAGTATTTAACAATGAGAGACTACGGTGTTACGCGCAAACGCAATATGTATTTTTAGGTTAAAATTGACTGACAGCGTGTTGTCCGCGTGTTAAACGGGAATTTAATTTGAAAAGTAACAAATATGTAATACAAAATAGAATAAGAACATGCAATTATATAAACAATTTAATGCCGTCCTAAACAGCTGAGAATCAGGATAGTATGATTTCAATTTTTATATGGTTTAAAGCAATACAAATTTTCTTATTGAAAACTAAATGAACACATAAACACCGTTTACTTAGACACGGTCTATTTGGACACCGTACATTTGGACACGATCAATTGGACACGGTTCGTTGGGACACCGTTTATTTGGACACGGGACATCTGGACACCGTAAAAACGCGGCCTATGCAGTTGGATACCAAAATGCGCGGTTTGTGCAGTTGGACACCGAAATGTGCTGCATGTGCAGTTGGACACGGAAATGCGCAACCTGTGCAGTTGGACACCGAAAAACGCGACCTGTGCAGTTTGACATCGAAATGCGCGACCTGTGCAGTTGGACACCAGAATGCGCGATCTGTACAAATGTTTTCAATATATGTATATAATACACGTAGAAAGTTGTAAACCTATGTAAACATCTCGTTTTGCGTGTAAAGGTTCCGCCCCCCTGCAGAGAACTCCACCTCCAAAAAAAACTAACCTAACCCAACCCAATTGTGTGGATGGTTCGCGCATTTCGGTGTCCCACTGCACAGATCGCGTATTTCAGTGTCCAACTGCACAGGCCGTGCATTTCGGTGTCCAACTGCACAGACCGTACCTTTTGGTGTCCAACTGCACAGGTCGCGCATTTTGGTGTCCAACTGCACAGGTTGCGCATTTTGGTGTCCAACTGCACAGGTTGCGCCTTTTGGTCTCCAACTGCACAGATCGTGCATTTTGGTGTCCAACTGCACAGGCCGCATATTTTACGGTGTCCAGATGAGCCGTGTCCAAACAAACTGTGTCAAAATAAACTGTGTCCAAACGAATTGTGTCCAATTGATTATGCCCAAATAAACTGTGTCCAAATGAACCGTATTCAAATAAACGGTGTCCAATTGATCGTCTCCAAATGACCGGGTCCAAATAAATGGTGTCCAAATGTACCGTGTCCATATATTACAGACACAATATGATTAAGATTAAGTAATTTAATAAGATTATTTAAGAATGTTAAATCAGGCAAAAAACGCAATCGTCTTAAATTAAAAAAAAAAACGTATTATTACTCAGACAGCACAGGATATCCTGTGGATGTCCGTTTTATGTCCATTTCTTGTCGGAATATCCATAGACCTTATAAAGATATCCATAGGATATACATTTGTGGACACTCTAGGAATATCCCAAAATGGACAAGTTTGTATATCCATATGCTATCCTTCTATGCCAACGCCATCTGCATGTAATTCCAATCCTGATCTCTTTCTGTTTCCTTTTGTGGCCGGGCAGGCCGGGATCTCACGTCAATCACGTCGAAAATTATACGTTATTTCCCACACAGCAAGCTATATCTGAGATATAGCCAGATATCTTTATGCTTACAATTTCAAGTGAAATCTGAGATTTTATTTTCATATATTTATAGAATATCTGCAGGACATCATTACTCGATATCACATTATATCTTTGAAAAAGACATCTCTGCAACATTTGCATTCAAATATATGGCCGATTCATAGTTAGCTCGGTAATTATGCATAAAAAGACCCGCCAATGACCTTGGCCTTGACATATGTTATCAAGGTCACCCTCCTGGTGGGGGGGGGGCTTATGGTAGATATCTCAAGTTCCCGGAGCCTTCCCACACAGTGCCGAGAAGAACCCCCGGGGGGTACAGTATAGCGGGTTACAGTCCCACATAACTGCCCTCTTCGACCCGGAGGAGGGGGTATCTGCGTGGATTTCTCCCCTGTCAACAAAAAAAGGTCACCCTCCCAAGTGACTTTCAAAAGTTTGTAGCCGGCGGTCGTTATTCGTTAAAAAGTTATTAACAAAAAAAGTTTGGAAAATATAGCAGCTATTTTGAGAAGGCATAAACGACTAATATTACAATACGTTTTTTTTTTTAAGCAAAGAATACTTTATTTCGCGATTATTTCGCGAAAAAGTCGCTGCTTTACCAAAACACAACATTTAAAGCAATAAATTGTTGATAAATTGTATATTGAATATATGTGAGTATTGGAAAGCATTAATAACTAATATATATGTCGAAATAGTTCACGCATATACTTTCCACGCAAGACGAGTTGTCACATGGGTCCGTGGCGCGCTTTACAAGCTCGTTTAAGTAGAGGTGGTATTAAACAAGATAAGTTAGTTGATCATCTGTGTGAATATTTGTGGCGATATACAATAAACGAACTTGTAAAGCACGCCACGAACCCATGTGGCACCTCGTTTCGCGTGGAAAGTGTATGCGTGAACTATTTCAAAATATATATTAGTCATTTATGTCTTCCAATACTCATATATATTCAATATACAATTTTTCAACAATTTACTGCTTTAAATGTTGTGTTTTGATAAAGCAGCGACTTTTTCGCGAAATAAAATATTCTCTATTTTAACAAAAAGACTTCAATTTATCAACAATTTACTGCTTTAAATGTTGTGTTTTGGTAAAGCAGTGACTTTTTCGCAAAATAAAGTATTCTCTGCTTTAAAAAAAATTAATCGTTTATGCCTTCCAATACTGAAAATAGCTGCTATATTTTCCAAACTTTTTTTGTTAATAACTTTTTAACGAATAACGGCCGCCGGCTAAAAACTTCTGAAGGCCACTCATGAGGATGACCTTGACAACATATGTCAAGGTCCAGGTCATTGGCGGGTGGGGTCTTTTTATGTATAATTACCGTTAGCTCTTATATTTTATAAAGATCAACCCAAGTTTATTCATAGCCAATAAAACAATCCGAGAGAACTTGGACGCCGTACCGATTCGTCCCGGTGAAAGCCACACGCCGCGAGAAAACTTAAAAAATTTTTATTTGGGCGGCGCCGGAGATAACAACCGCGGCGCGAAAGTAACTCGCCGCAAGGGGACTAGGAGATTTTCGCTCGGGCGAGCGCTAATAACATGCGCTGCCGCGACGCGGCTACATGCGCCAGTAACTTTTTGTAAGCAAAAATTCTTACGCACTAGGATAAAAGACGAGCTTGTGAGATACTTGGCTCTAATATTTTTCATGATACCTCCGAGATATCATATAGTACAGAGATGGCAAAATGCAAAATATTGGAATAGTATCGAAGCATAATTTTGAATTTGTTGCAAATTCTTATGAAAAGAACTTCTTTTATATTTGAAAAAGGACTCAGAATTGGTGACATAAAAATGAATTTCTTATGAACTCTTAAGAATTATTTTAGAACAGAAAATAAATACGGAAAAGAATTAATTTCATAAATCGAAAATTTAAAAAGAATTCTTTTTTCTTCTTGCTATTTAGGTTGTATATAACATAACTGCTTTTAAATGAGGCATAGATATCCGACATATATGTTGTGACGACAACGACGATGTCTTCACGGTCTCGCCGGCCGTGAAGGAGCGCGCCGTCGCTTCTATTCACAAACGATCTTAAAAAAAATTAATCACAAGACTCAGAAACCCAGATGATAGCTCGACTAAATAATTCCTCGAATTATTGGGCGCCAGGTGCGATTCCTCGCACCACGATCCACAAGATCGCAATTCTCTCAGGTGTGAGTTTCTTCGGGTAATCGCGGTCGGAGGAGGAGAGGGAACGTAGCGCAGTTAACACACGCAAATAACAATAATACAAATATAATGTATTTGACAGAAAAGGTTACGTCAGGATAAATCAGCAAGTTGTTTCAGACGAAATCGGTGAATTACAATCTTAGAGAGAAGATTACTTCAGAATAAATCGGCAGGTTTCTTTAAAATGAATCGGTGAATTACAATTTTTCTCTTGAATGTTTTGCTGCGAAACGCGAAAAACTACGAGATACAATAACGCGGAAATTAGCCTAAGGACGCAACTTATAGGACGCAGTTACACGACCGCAATACACAATACGCGATTACACGAACACGATACGCGAGACACAGTTACCCGAACGTAATACACCATACGCGATTACACGAACGCAAGACACAATACCTACGCGCGACGATTTTCCAACGGCCGAATAACCATCCGCGACGTCTCGCGAATGGTCCCAAAATAGCTAGACGCGGGCCTCCCGCGAAAAGCCCCAAAGGTCCAAGACAGGTGCCTCACGCCCCGGGACGTGATTGCGCGTAAATTACTCCCCCGTTCTGCGACAATACGGTCCACCTCGGCGCGAAGGACATCTCGCTACATTACCCATCACGCGGTTACACAAAACGCTATTACACGAAACGCTAAGACACGACGAAAACTACAACGAATCACACGGTGACTGTCGGCCGCGTGCGAATTTTTCGGGCAGGGCGATCCCATATTACTTTGTTGGCCGAGCCCTCCGTCAGTATTCCATTTAATAATTACTTGCTCGGTAATACTCATCTGCACAAACGCGATGCTACAAAATACTTCGCGACATAGTACGCGATTCTATAAGCATGTTTCCCGCGACTCTACGCGACTCTCGGAAGGGCCCCGGCCGTCAGAACGATCTTACTTGCACCCAAACGTGGGTTACGAAGTGCTCGAGTAGTGGCCTTACAAATTCCGTAAGCTCGGCTGCCGGTCCTCTCGGGATGTTGTCTCTCGCCACGCCGACACGACAGTGACAATCCTCTAGCCCGGCGGAATCACGTCGGGCCCGCGCCTGCGCACGCCGTGCTTGCAAGCCCTCCCTGCCGATCAGCCCTATGCAAGCCGAGCGCCCCTCGTGGCTTCCTCGCTCGCCGGCGGCAGGTTTGAAAAGCCTATTCTCGAGTCCGGCTGACCGGGTCGCGACTCTGGTGCCAGTGTACGACGGCCAGGCTGGCCAGGCCATGGCTCCGTCGACCGGTAGGCAATGCTCCGTGGCATTTTGCCGTTATACGCTTCGCAATCCTCACTTGTTGCTCCTCCTCGCTCAAGCCGGCCGAGCCGGTGCTCTGCACCAGATTGACTCCAATCCCATGGCCGATGTTCAAGTTGGTGGACTGCAAATGACGTTCCCTCGTGGCGATCGACTGGTAATGAGCCGCTTGGTTGTAGGGGATCGGCGGCCCGAGGCCCTCCTGCGAGGATCCGCTCGCGGACACGTTGGGCTCGGGATTGTTGCTCAGGAGGGTGGTATTGTCCAGTTGGTTACCAGCGGTGCGCTTCAAACAGTTGCCCATGGTTCTCTCTCTCTCTCTAATTCTCTCTCTTTCTCTCTCCCTCACTTTCTCTGTCTCTCACTAGCTAGCGGCGAACTGTCAGCTTTGCAGGTCGCTCGCGCGTCGCATCCGCGCGTCTACCCCGATCCCGTTTTCCCGTTCCGCGCGAGCAATTACAGGATCCCGTGCGGACGCGGCAGCGACGACGGCAGCGCGACAGCGACCGTGCACCTTGTTGCCATTTCACCTGGACACTCTCCGCGGAGCTCGTCGACTAGCGAGAGCAGCACCGAGCGGACGCTCGGCCAACGCGATCGAGATAACAACGCGATCTCCCTCCTTCGCGATTCGGCAGGCTTTATCCCGGCGAACATCGGGGCTGATGCGCTCGCCCTGCGAGACGCTCCAAGCAACATCGGCATATGGGCCCCATCGTGACCCGCCCGCCGGCCAACTCCTACGTAGAACGCCTCCCGTAAACTCCCCTGGCGCGACTCAAGTCGTTACAATTTTCTCCTGGCCATCTACTCGACACCTGAAATTCTCGGAAATAATATAATGTACCAAATTCTAACGCTGTCGCCCCGCCCCGCTCCGGCGGAGACGACATCCCGGACGTTCCCCCCGGTCGAACTATCGTCTGGACAGGGGACGTGACCATGTCACGTCACAATGTAGAATCAGATATCATATCTGAGATAAAATTATCATAGTTTTTTATAATCCTGGAGATGTTTCTGAGATATTCTCATGATATCTTGCGCAATCAGATATTCCGTTATTCAGATATCTTCTCGATATCTTAGTGATATATTTTGCTGTGTGGGTTAAATCAAAGGTAATCCTTTTTTTTTACATTTAAAAATTGTATTGTGTGCCATTGGCTTTTGTTTCGTGTCCGGCCAAGGAAACCTTGGGACACGAAGGGTTTGCCGGAGTTCGCCCTGACAAGGACGCGAAGCGTGTTCCTGAGATCGGTGAGGAGTATCAGCAAATAATTGCAGCCGTTTCGTTTTGTGTAATCTTTAATTACAACTACAATACACACAGTCTTAAAAAAAATGCAGTTTGAGATGCGTGGTCTCCACAAGCGGAGCACGTACGAGAGTTTATGCGCCTCGCGGCGGGAAGGTTCAGAGAGCGACGAGCCGGATTCGGAGACGAGCGCTTGGAGAGGCCGTGAGGAAAATTGCGTTCTTGCTCACTGAGGTCGTCCACTTCCCCGTTGAAGACGGCTGGTGGAGCGTATGACCTTCGTTTCGCGCGGCGATCAATCGAGAGTATACTGGTCGCGGCGAACGGTCTATCGACTTTTCGGCTCAAGTCCTACTATGATTATACCGATTCGTGCGGAGACAGTCGTGTTCCGGGTTCCGGCTTGAGGATGGCTCGGCGGAGAGCCGGGTGTGTTACAGGGGGGACGAATCGTATCGATCCGTGATCGAGCCGCGTTGCACGAAACCGCGTAAACGCGTGCGCGTGACTCTCGTGAGTTTGCAAGAATTGAACGGGAGCGAAGGATTATTGGGCGACTTTCCGTGGCAGGGCCGTTGTCTGAGATCGAGGTCTCATGCTCTGCGGTCAGGGCCGTTGACAGGGATACAGCACCCAACAATTCCTCCCTCGCGAACAGAATTTCGGTTTCTATCCTCAACAGCTTTATATCATTATAATGATATATAAAAGTTAGATCCTTTAAACCTATTAAAATTTATATATATGCAGTTTCTACAATTAAGATCAAATATGATACAATTAATTACTATGTTTACACGAGCGTTACTTAATTCTGTAGTAACTTACGATAATTTCTTTGCGTAAACGGGGTTTTGTAGTAAACTTATAATTCACTCCGGGTAACTGAGTAAATTACTACAGAAGTAATGATATCACGTTACCTAACCTAAGCTAAACGTAGTAAATTTTACAGTTTAGTCAGAAATATTTTGTACCACCACATCTGCGTTGCTCTTTTGCTGAATAACATCAAATATGTAATTAAAACCCATAAGTAGTCTAAATTGTCTAAAAATGGATTTATATTTGTAAATTTTTGTGTGTATTGTCGGTGCTTTATACAGGGTATCTTTAAAGTCTGATCCAACGCCCTGGATCTCGGAAACGGCTTTAGATATGGAAAAATATTTCAGATAAAAGTTGTAGAATATAAAAGGAGGCAGATGATGAAAATATGGACTTGACCTTGAATGACCTTTTTAAGGTCAAGTTTATGTGATCAAATATTTTTTAAATGGAACCCCATTTTTTATTACATATTCTTGTAGCCCTTGTCGAGATATTTTCAAAACACCATAATAAAGCTCTCTTTCATTAAGGACTTCCCGAGATATCTCGTACCTGGCCTTGAAAAAATCGCTTAAAGTCAATTCCATATTTTTATCATCTGTCCCCATTAATATCCTGCAACTTTTATCTAAAACATTTTTTCATATCTAAAGCCCCAGGTAGCACATACACGTTTCAAAAATGTTTTATAAGCGTTGTTATTACTCGGTACACGTAATCTGGTGCCCGGCGAGGGGGCAGGCGGCGAACTCTTCGCGCAACGGACGAACACCTCGTTGTACCGGCCACGCGCACTTCCGATCGTAACCTCGTGTCTCTCGGCGAGAGGCCCAGGGGCCGAGCTCGCGCGGTTCACAGCAGGGTGTCCGGAATGTCAGTCACTGAGGAGTCACTCGCGATTTGAAGCGTCTGAGGATCACCGTACTATCAAGCAGTATTTGCCTTTCGATTCGACAGTCACGAGAGACACACGTATTGCATCCGTCTTACACAGAGGACCCGAAAACGAATGATGGCGACAACGAGAGCGTCGATGTGAGCATGCGATCTTCCGCGACAGTCGATATATCGATCCGTCAACTCGGGTCCGTCGCTGATTGGTCGGCTCGGAAATGGCCGCTCGAGATAGGAATGATAATATAATTTCCAAACATTCCGCCCGCCTTCTACAACAGGGTTGGAGAATGACGGCTTGATGCAGCTCCGGTGAGGCCGAGTCAGGTAGGAGGTTGATCCGATGAGACCGGGAGGATCGCCAGCTTGGTGATGGGCCGTCGGAATTCGGTGGTGGCCGTCTTGAGCGTGACTACCCGACAGAGGCCGTCCGCACCCGGGTGGAGTGCGATGACTCGAGCGAGGGGCCACTTGGAGGGGGGCAGTCGCTCGTCAGTGAGCAGGACTAGCGAGCCGACTCGAATCTGCGTGGATGGGTGACGCCATTTGGAGATGGAGAGTTAGTGTTGTAGACACTCTCTTGACCATCGGGCCCAGAAATGTTGCACCTGCTGCTGGATGAGTTGCCACCGAGATAGTCTGGAGGTTGGCACCGCAGAGAGAGAAGGCTCCGGGATAGTGGTAGGAGCTTCGCCGAGGAGAAAGTGCCCAGGTGTGAGTGCCGAGATATTGTCCGGATCGTCCGAGAGGGGGCACAGGGGCCTAGAGTTGAGTACTGCCTCTATCTGGACCAGAAGAGTTGAGAATTTCTCATAGGTCAGGAGTGTGTCGCCGATCGTCCACTGTAGGTGGTACTTGATTGACTTTACCGCTAATTCCCACTTCCCCCCGAAATGAGGGGCCGCCGGTGGATTGAATACCCAGTGAGTGCCGTCGTTGATCAATAGTTGAAAGAGCTCTTGAGACTCCCTTGATCCCGCATCAAAGAGCCGTTTGAGGGCGGCGTCCGCACCAAGGAAGTTAGTGCCACAGTCACTGAATAGTGTGTGACAGATGCCGCGACGTCCAGTGAACCGTCGATAGGCGGCGAGAAAGGCCTCGGTGGTGTATTCTGTGACGAGCTCCAAATGGACCGCCAAGGTGGTGAAGCAGATAAAAACGGCTATTCAAGCCTTGTGGCACTTGGCGCCACACCCTCGCCATGATTTCAGTGTGATAGGGCCGGCGTAATCGACTCCCGTGGTGAGGAATGGGCGAGAAGGTGTGACCCGGGAGGGCGGCAGTTGTCCCATGAGCTGTTGGGCCCGAACCCCGCGGTACCGGGTACAACTTACACAGCGGAGGATGTGAGATCTCACGGGGGCCCGACCGCCGATGATCCAGTAGGCTCTGCGTAAATAGGTCAACGTCAGCTGGGTCCCGCCGTGAAGTGTTCGCCGGTGAGCGTCCGCGATAAGGAGCTGGGACAATCGGTCGTCTTTCGGTAGGATGGCAAGGTGAATACTCCGGATCGAGCAACGAGTTTTTGAGGCAATCTCCAACTCTGAGGATGCCGGTACGATCGATAAACGCGGTGAGCTTGGACAGAGTCTTGGGCAAGAGATTTCCGCTCGAGAACGGATTACACTACTGATGTGCACCAGGAAGTTCTTCAAAACAGAACAAACATAAATGTACTTTCAATGACCACGTTCAGCAGAACATTTATTGCAAACATATATTTTTGCAATTGTTTGAACTTTTCTATGCTCAGATTTGTCCAATGACAAATAGATTTACGACCGGTAGGAGACAAAATTAATTTAAGTAAATAAGTGGATATATAATATGTGCATGGATAAAATGATTTATTTTGTGCAATTATTAATGCAATATAAATTTAAATGTTTCAAAAAAAGGTTATTAAAACTATTACATATAGATATAGCAAATTATAATTTTTGTTGGGGATTCCCCCAATTTAGTAATGTAAAAATTATATATATATGTACTGCGATATACATTTCGTTTGCTTCTCACGCAAAATGCTCGATAAGTTCGGAACCGCCGGAAAAAGCCAAGCCGCGCCGAAGGCGAGCGCGCGTCAGCATCCCCACGCGGCTCGCCCGACCGCCGGCCTCCCTTCCAACGAACCCGCCGCGCCGCGGTATATAAGCCGGCGCTCCGACAGGAGCCGACACTTCGTCTTATCTCCGGCTCTCTGCTGCCTTCGACGAAGCCTACCCTATCCAACTTCCTAGGGCGACACATAAACGAGGTCCGGTGCTCCGAGTCTCGACTGAGTGCTCTCAGGTCCCCGAACTCCAGCCTACCAAACCGACGATCACGATTCCGCGGGGTCGAGCACGCTCGGTCTCGTTGCGAGCCCTCTCGCTGTCGTGACCCCGGTGCTTCACTTCCTGCCGTATCCACCTACCGCGTCTCCGTAGGCATCGGACGTTAGACCGCGTTTC